TTCCCCCATGAATTTTCTATTATCATTGTCCCAACAGTTTCCTTCCATCATTCCGCGAAGATAAACCTCGGAAAGTTTAGGATATTAAGTAGGATATGCTGCAAATGTGAAAGGATCCTACACTAGATTTGAAACTTGAATTCCTAAACAATTTGCCGATTCCGAAATTAGCATTGCTTTTGATTGCAAAATTCATGCAAACCTACACCTACCGTTGCGGTAGGTGTAGGTAAACTCATCTTGGCAACACGATAAGATTGGTCTGCCTTGCTCTGGTGATGTACGGCCGGAAAACTCAAGTCCAACGAAGAGCTACTCAAAAGCATTAACTCCCTGCTTTTCAGGTAGAGATGAAAAACTGTATTAACATGGAAGTCGCCATTTTCCTATAATAACATTTGGCGAGCGTTTGATTGGCTGTTCCGGTCCCAGTGTTCGAACAGGAGTAAGGTTTCAAATTATGCGTCCCGCAAGTCCTTCAGCAGTTCTCAGTGCGTCGGTTGAAATCTCTCACCAGAGCGCTGGACGACGTTGATCACGCATTCCCGCCATGTCGAGTCAAGCGTCAAGTCCTCGCCGCCTGGAATGGTCTGAGATGAGGAGGAGGTCGGAGGTAGAGAGCGAGAGGAGAGGGGGAGCGAGATGGTTTTACTCTTGGAAGGACGAAAGTGTGCTCTTCATGTCGAAGTTGTGCAGTTGCACATGCGAGGACGAAACTGCCCGCTCCATGACGGTGTGCAATATCGTGGATTTCTCCAGCACCATTGTGAACGCCAGCTTCAATAGGCCCGCATGGTGGACCTCAGCCATTCCCCGATTCGACGTGGCCGTCTTCCACCGATGGCGGCTCCTCCCGCAACTCCAAAGACCAGAAAAAGAATCTTGCCTATCCCCAAGCCTCCCGTGCCACCATGCCACCAGTAACATTCATCCAAAGCTTCAGCTTTCCATGTTCATCTGTTTAACTGATGCAAAAAAAATTATTTGAAAACATGCATCCCAAAAGGTACATGAATACATTGTTTCAGATTTCTAACCTTTCTAGAACATGGTTAGAATTAGCGTCAGTCAGTCAGTCACGATCTTCTATATCTATTAGATAGTCCAGGGTGTCCTTGGAAAGTTCATTGCCTCTCTCGCATAGATGTCCTTGGAATCGGCAAATTCATATGGGGTTTTGTTTTCATTGCATCTGGATATACGTGTAATTGGATGTCTGCAGCGGCATGGTGGCTTCGTGATTTTTCCTCATGTGGACGCCATGAAAAGGAGGAAATTGCAGAGACCTAGGAGAAAGCACGCCGAGTAAGTCATTATGAAGCTCAGATGTAAACGGAATAGCATCCAGATGAAATTTCCGACCGGTGCAAGATATACCGCGAATTTAGGAATTTAATACCCAGAATTTAACCCTTACTGACTCTTGCGACATGACGGGATGAACGAGAAACTCTTTGCCGGTCGTGAGGACATAAATGGCCTTCTCCGATGCATCCTCGCGACAGAGTCGATCGCGCATTTCTGTCTTGTACGCAGGCGATCTGCTGCGAACATCTCCAGGAACAGGAGCCCGTCGCCTTCGAGATCCTTCCACGGAAGTTGGACGACCCTGTCCTCTAGTCGACTGTTGACGACTAGATCACTGACACTGGACCTAATATGCATTGGGTTACGTGTACAGACGAACACGTGTAATGATTTAAATGTCATCCCAGGATTCTGCAGGGAAAGACCGGGTCCCGGTTAAAAATATTCGGTACTAATTCTAATGGTTGCCAAGCCGTATTGGTAGCGACTGGATATTGCGACGATTTTGGTGCCAATCTCCCTTCGGTTGTGAGGAGGAGGATTTGAGAGGATTCTTCCTCAGCTTAGCGAAAACACTATTTATTTATTCATTTAAATATCTTACACGATCATGCTTCTAAGGGAAATTATCTGATTAGATTCATATATTGGTGATTATTCAATGCTTTGTTTTAGATTTACGCGTCAGTGAACCCATATCATGTGCAGATGAGGACTTCATTTTCGCAGCACGATATCGGTTCCGTCGACAGTCTATGCCATCGCATTGCCCGCTTCCCTGATGCCGTTTCTGGCAGAACGCTCGGGATTAATCGAAGTGGGATGCAGCGGGAATGGAGAAGATGGAGCAGATGGAGCAGGTGTACTGAAGTGCTCGGAATTTCCTCGTTTGGCGCAGAGTCGATGGGGCTGACGATGGGGCTGACGATGGGGATGTGGTGACGGAGTAAAAGCTCTCATATGAGAGCAAAGAATCAGGCATGACAGTCGGAGGTGGGAGGGCGGCCATGTTAATTCTAAAGAAGGAAGGGAAAGATGGAAGAAACATTTCTGCTCTCTCCCTCAACGGGAGTCTTAGAATGTCAGATAAATTGTGTGACATGTTTGCTTCCGAAAACCGGAATTTCTTTCCATGGAGTTCGCCTTGATGCGAGGAGTCATGAGGCTCCGATGATCGAGGGCGAATTCATATTTTTTGCTCATTCGGAAATGGAAAAGGCGCGTGATGAGTGATGGGATCGACCGGTTTCCATCATGTCGACTTCATTTCAGACGATTCTCGCTTTAGCTGAGTGCCTCAAGATTGCATTTTAACTGTTTCCATCGACCGTTCCTATACTTCAAGACAGACACTGCCGTGACATTACGTCCTACACAGTTAATGGGGCTAAATCGTGAAATGGGAGTATTTAACTTAGTACTCCTTAAGCCTTAGTACTCGCCTCCTTGAAAAGATGCCAGCCTTCACCAACCGGTTCCCTTCCAGACCCTCAATACAGATTTCTACATACTAAAGTCAATAATACCCAAGCACAATCCAAAATTCGTTCATGGAAAGCCATGGGGAGGGGGGAGTGGCAGATGTGTATTGGCAACGGATAGGGAGATGCAAGGTCGACCAGTGTAGCTGGAGGATGTGTTTCCAGAGTATAAAAAGGCTTCCTCCATTTCCATTTCCGCACTTCGATCTTGTCCTCCAGACAATAGGCGGTTTTTCTCTGCATCGGCATAATTTCGCGGTTTTCCTGGTCATCTGAGCAGAAGGAAGACTGCTTTATGAAGACCGGTAACTTCAGGCGAGACAGTAGTTCCAAAACGACAGGATCAATAGCTCAGCGAGAAGGAAATTGGATGCTCCTTCAGCTTGGAAGACTTTCCCTCTAATTCCTATGGAAATCCCCTATTTCTTCCCAGTGGCTACTTATGATCGAAAGTATTAGGTTCATCCTTTGAGCCACATGCCCTAATGCGATTCAGACTCGTCAGAGAGGCCACCTGGGCGTTCAGTTATCTCATCTAACAAGCATTCCGTTCCCATTTTTTGGAAACAACCCAAGTCTTCGTTGCGTTTCATTAGCAGTGAAATACTTTTTCAAGGATCGAGCGAATGCGTAGCGAACATCAATACGATATAATTCAGCGACTAATCTAACTTCACTGAAGCCACTCGTGCAAGTCATGGGCTTACAGTAACCCCCTGTGACCTCGTTCCCAATAGGTGGAGGTCAATCCTGAGGGAGTGCCATTCCCCGTTTTCCTTTCATTTTTCGCCGTTGAGAAATCTGTCCAGGTCTTCTCCTGCCATCGCGTGCAGGGTCAGCGCCAGAGCGTACACTCATCTTCCGCCATCCAGTAATAATACAATTCTCAACGGACAATAACGGTTAATCAAGTAAATAAAAAATATCGGAAGCAATTGTAAGATGGCTACGTGTACAGTTACAGCTCACTTAGTACTTTCTACCAGAGACCGAGTATGACACGCAGCGATGAAACACGTAATTGTCCGTGATACCGGCGGCAAAACGGGATGATGTGCATCCTGTTCGGAGACAATCGTCTGGCAATATCAGTAGTTCCCCAATGAACGCAATGAATAAAACGCAGAGAACGGGTCGTTTCCATGCAACTTCTTCATTCTAGGTACATCGCGCTCCTCGGCACACAACTGGATTTCCGTCTCGAAGCAACTGAAGTGCAAATCCAAAAGCCTTCGACTTAAGGAATTTGCTCCACGTTTGATTGGGCATATTCTCTTGCACGTCTGAGATGGGGATACATTTTCGCGTTTGGAATTCATCCCTCCTCTTTGCAACCAGCCGGTCGAGGTTGCTAAAACGGGCCCGTGATCGCGAGGATATCATCGAATGGGAGTCGCTATAGGGGAGTGCTTGCCACATACGGCATCAGAAGATTGCCCGTAGCATGCGTGATTTGTCCTTATAGCGCTGCGACGGCGGAAAGAAGACCTGGTGTCATTAGCACGTGCATAGGCCGAGAGTGAATGCCAGAATAGGAAGATCTTTTTCTTCGGAAAAAGAAATTCGTTTCCGTCCCATCAAGCTCATCGCGCTTCATTTGCCCATCCGATGCAACGTAAAAAAATACATTCAAACATTGGAATCAATGTTCGCATTCATTCCATTAACTCGAATCGGCGATTATGGCGACTCCCCAAGAATCAGCGAGGGTTGAATTCTGTGTTTGAAAATTTCTCAAGGTTAATGGCGTCATATCCTCCACCGATCGGGAAATTCATCAGGAAGCCATCCCGCTTCCATCCAAGCTTCGTTATTACTGATTCGACAACGGGCTCTCTCTTCCAGTACTCGTACATCGCGCTACCATCCCGATCCCGCTGTGATATGTCGAGCAGAGAAATAAACCTCTGCTCTCCCCCTTACCGTTATCTTCATCAGGAAGCCATTCCGTTTACATCTGAGCTTTATATAATTACTGACCCGACCTGCTTTCTCCCAGGACTCTGCATTTCACCCCATTTCATGGCAAGGAAAAAACCCGATGCCACAGTTTCACCGCAGCAGACATCCAATCACTATTATATATCCAAGTGCATGGAATGTTTCACGGCTGCGATATTTCGATTCAAGGACATCCATGGGGGAGATCCCATGAGCTCTCGAAGGTTACATGGGACTATATATACCTTTCTGTAATCCTTTCCCAGCAACCACTCCAACCGATCCTTCAGGACCATCAGCATCATCCCCGTTCTCGCCACCGTTCCTCCTTTCCTCTCGACCAGAGTAAGTAGTCTCCCTTTCCGTCACGCTCTCACATTCTCCTCTCTTTCTCCTGTCCCCACGAAGAGTTGTCGCTTCCTCCTCCCATCACAATGGCAGAAATCAGAAACGCAACGAAAGCACCATCCTTCTGCGCGCGCATTCGCCTTCAACCCACCGACAACAAAGGTCTACTGTAGAACGACCGTACCGGTGGCTCCAGCTCTCTTTTCCCGCTCCACACTCCCTTTTCAAGTCCTTCCACCTTTCCCAAGGTCCTCATGCATTTCCAGCTGTTCCCTGTCCGTCGCTTGCGTGTGCGTCGCTACTACAAGGCTTCCAGGGTGGTTTCAAAATTTCCTCTCCGTCACCTTTTTCTTCAGAGGATGAGATCCCGAATCGCCGTTCAGATTCTCGCCGTGATGTTCGCCCTGGCACTCACCATGGATGCTGTCGTCGGAGTGAACTACAAAACGTGCAAAAAATACTGCGACGGGGGAATGGGTGGGGCGTCGGTCCTCTGCACCTTCTTCACGTCGGGCTGGCTGGGCGACCAATGCCAGAAAATCATCAACGCCCCGCCCAAGACCTGCAAGAACTTCTGCAAATTATTGGTGTTGTTCAAGGAATTTGACGCCGATAGCGAGCACGTCGCCAATTTTGAAGGATAGTTCCGGTGCGAAGAGTGGCTCGAAAATTGAGTGAAATAAAAACTGGCATACAATCCTTCGCTTTTCATTCGTGAAAAGGAAAGTGGCAAGATTCACAATAGACAGAATTTCGCGGGATTCCTTGTCGTCTAACGAGAAGAAAGCCTGCTTCATGAGGACCGGGAACTTCAGGCGAGACAGTAGCCCCCACAACGACAAGATCAATAGCTCAGCGAGTAGGAAAATAATTGTTCGTTCAGCGTGAGTCTTTTTTTAAAAATCGTATCGAAATTCCCTCCTACTTCGCAGTGGCTACTTTTGATCGGACGTATTAGGTTCATCCTTTGAGCCACATGCCCGAACACGATGGCATGTCGTCACCTCATCGGGGGCACATGCGGTAAAGGTTTTTAGGACATCGATAGCGTCAGTGGTCTCGATTCACTGTTTCCTGATATTCCCTAGCGTCGTCGGATGCCCACGCTCGAGTCAAAGTGGTAAGGTTGAGAGTGAGGTAAAGGATGAAGAAAGGTAAAACCTATTAAAATTGGTTTTCACATTACAACATAATTGTGATTGAATATCTACGGTGAAACAGTGGCATCTTTGTTTTTCCTCATGAGGACGCCATGAAATAGGGTAAAACGCAGAATCCTGGGAGAAAGCAGGTCCAGTCAGTAATTATAAACTTGTATGTAAACGGAATGGCTACTTGATGAATTTTCCTATCTGTTGAAGGTAAGCTGCAATATATCCGGAATTTCATACCTAGAATTCAACCCCGTAGAATCTTAGGGAATCGCCATTATCGCTGATTCGAGAAACTCGTGTGAAGGCGAACATTGATTCCAATGCTCTGAATATAGTACTTTCAAACGAAATGGCAGACAAACTAGATAAATTTCTTCTTTCAACCTTACATTTTCCGAGGTTTTCCTCTGGTAAAGAAATGAAAAAATAGGAGTTTCATATATGTGGTTATCGAATATAGCGGCATATCTTGCAACGATCGGAAAGTGAGGGAAAGAGAGACTACATACTCAGATCGAGAGGAAAGGAGGAACGGTGACGATGCTGATGGTCCTGAAATCCCCGGTCAAGTGGTAGCTCGAGAAGAATTACGACAATGTATATGTATAGTACTGGGTGCCCTTGGATCGCTCGTGGGAAGTCTCTCGCACGGATGTCTTGAACGTCTGAGATAGGCAGGATTACTCAAGTGCGCTTCCATTTCCGTCTTTTCTTGAGAGAATGAATGTTTCATTTCAAAAACGCTTTTGGCCAGCAACTGGATCCATCTGAGCGAGAACTGGAATAGAGAGGAAAATGACTGGGTTTCATCTTACATTATAAAAAATTATGTTCATCGTTTTTCTTAAGACGCATCTGGAATGAAGTGAAATTGATTATTTCCGTGTATTTGCTTCGTATTGTACTATCCATTAAAATAAAAGAATCGTCTCGCCGGTTTGCCTCTACTTCAGTAGAGCCATTGCAAGCTCTGCGAAGGGGTCAGTTGGCAAAGAACTGGGGTGTTTACCCTATCGCAATAAAAACTCATAAATCCAAGTTTTTCTCATATACGTTCATAAATGGCACAATAAGAGCAAGGATGGGAGGCAAATCAAATACAAGATCAATAAAGCAGGTAACCAATTTCTTTAGAATGGTGCAGAGAAAAGGGTTTCCACCTAGAGAAAACTCTTGGTAGTACAACTTCGAAAAAGACCAGCTAAAATTTAATATGGATCGGGTGGGGTTGAAGACCGACCCTATGCGGAAGCAGAAGGATGGTGTTTCCATGCGTTTCTGATTCCTGCCATTGGGATGGGAGAACGAAGCACCAAGCCTTCGTGGAAACAGGAGAAAGGGGGGAGAATGGGAGGACCGGACGAAAGAGAGACTACGTACTCTGGTCGAGAGGAAAGGATGAATGGTGGCGAGAACGGAGATGATGCTGATAGTCCTCAAGTCTCCGATGGAGTGGTTGAAGGAAAAGGTTCGCGGAAACTTTCATACTGTACTAGCTGTGGTCGCGCCTTCGGCTCTCCATTACCTTGGATTGTGCATTACCATTCATTTTTTGCGAAAAGGGAAACATTTATTTAAAGTACGTCCCGATTGAAATGCGTGCCATATGGTGTCGAAAGTCTTCATTTTCATCATAATCATAACCTCTATTATTCTATTAGCTAACTTGATTAACTTGATATCCTTTCTCGCGTCCCTTTTTGTAAGGGTGGAGAATATATTTAGAAATACTTCTTTCTTATAATCTATGCTAAGGAGACATTTCAAAAGTAGGATTTTTCCTGTACTCAGCCTTCAAACAGGTACTTCTGAGGGAAGCTTAAATTTTCTGTCTCTGTTTCGTTGGATCCAAAAAAAAATTAGGAAAATGTCCCATTTTCCTAATTTTTTTTGGAAAGAGTTCCCTGATCGGCTTTAACGAAAAATTTTTTTCTTTTGAAATGTAGACTGAGGGAATTCCATCCAACCCAGTTTCAGTCCAGCTTCCGTTTCCCCTTTTTGCTGGCGCAAAAAAAATGTATTTGGAAAGCGACCCGCCCAAAACCTATGCTCTAAGGAAAAGCACAAAAAAAGTTGAATTTTTCCTTAAATCAACATCACGTCCGTCATGCGTGTGCCAGTTACTTTTCAATTTCTACCGATTTGGTAGGATATTAAAAATTCTTCAAAAACTTTACGTCCCTAAGAAATATATAACCACCAAATATATTTTGGAANCATCCTCGCGACAGAGTCGATCGCGCATTTCTGTCTTGTACGCAGGCGATCTGCTGCGAACATCTCCAGGAACAGGAGCCCGTCGCCTTCGAGATCCTTCCACGGAAGTTGGACGACCCTGTCCTCTTGTCGACTGTTGACGACGCCCCAAGAAGAACTTCGGCTAGCCTTGAGCAGACCCTCGTCTAAAGGATCGTTCTTGATAAACACTTTGTGCTTGAATGCAAAGAAGCAGATGGTTGAAAGTATCACGATGACCATGAATGATTTTAGATGGCTCCACATTTTCAAGGAAGGAAACTTCCACATCCTTCGAAGATCTCCGATCGAGAATTTCTGAAATGAAATCTTCCAGTAAGTGGTTACCGTCGATTACCACATCAAACGCATTATTTTTAGTATTTCTGCAGCTGAAACGGACGATGGCAACTCGTATCGAAAGTTCAATTTCCAACTACTAAGTCATAATCTTATGGTGAATGAAGGAAGACATGGAAAGGTCCCAGATGTTACCATTCGTATGGAAGCGAATGACATTTGAAGTCAGATTCACTGCCCAGTATGCGGCAAATTGAAGCTGATGATTTACGAAATGCATTATCGAAGAGAGACACCATCTTTATCTTTGTTTAGTGGAGGAATCTCATTCTTTTGTAATGTAATTAGCCCTAAATGCTTCCTTTCAGTTTCGATATATTGCAATCCTGTCATTTTCCATTGCTTAAGTTTTATTTTTAGAGGAAAATAATCATTGAGTTTTCATGCACCCAATTGTTAACTAAGCATATAGCTGCATGACAAGATATCGCAAACGACAGTACCATACCGAAGAGAATTTTCCATCAACAGTCGTCCCCATCGTCTCGGAAGTCTTTCAGCAGTTCTCAGTGCGTCGATTGAAGTCGGTTTGGCGTTTACTTCTATTCCCAGGGAAGTGTGGTGGGGGATGATGGATGAATTTATACCGGAGTTGACGGGGATTGAACCAAACATGGAGGGTTGAATCCCTACGGCCCCCTCTTGCATGCGCCACTGTGTGAGAGGAGAGAGAGGGAGAGAGAGGGAGAGAAAGAGAGGGAGAGACAAGGCACATAGCTCGTACCTCGTTCGGATGCGATGCAGTTTCTAGACGTACTGCGGTCTAGCGGTCCTGCTGGTTTCTAACATGTGGCCTTCAGAGTCAGGCCACTCTCTGTACGGAAGAATTGGAACGGATGGAAAAGCACAACTTAAATGAAAATTTCTCACTTAGTTCTAACGCTCTCTTTCTACTTTGGCCTCGCAAAAAATAAAAATTTACCCTCAATCTTGAGAGTCTCATGACTCCTCGCATCAGAGGCGCACTTCATGGAAAGAAATTCTATCAACTTCGTTTTCGGAAGCAAAAATGGGACACAATGAATCTGACATTCTAAAACTCCCATTGAGGACATGTTTCTTCCACCTTTCCTTTCTCCTTTGGAATTCACATCGCCCCCCCCCCCCTCAAATGTCCTCCCTGATTCCCTTGCTCTCGTATGAGAGTTTTTACTCAGTGCCCGCAGCCCATCGACACCAGGCGAAACGCGGAAACTCCGAGAACTTCGATACACCTGCTGCATCTCGTCCATCTCGTCCATCTCCTCCATCTTGGCCATCTCCTCCTTCTCGGCCATCTCGTCCTTCTCGTCCATCTCATCCATTCCTGCTGCATCCCACTTCGATTAATCCCAAGTTCGCTGCCAGAATCGACATCTGGTAAGCGGGCCAAGAGATGGCATTGACTGGCCACTGCGGACGGAACCGATATCGTGCTGAGAAAATGAAGCCCTCATGTGGTTTACTATACCCAAGTGACTGAACTTTAATGATAAATTATATACATGGAGTATCATCAAAATATGAATAAAATTAGCAAATTTCCCTTACAAGTACGATTGTGCAATATATTTAAATTTAAACAAATTATTTCGAGAAGCTGAAGATGAATCCCTTGAAATTTTTTTTGGTACGGAGCTAGTAGTTCTAGCTGAGACACAATTCCTTAAAATGGGACACACTACATTGGTAAAGGTTTTTCATGGGGAATACAAACTTGTTTATGGCCTGGGCTCCATGATTCTGTCTCGAATACGGGAATAACAAACGAAGTGTCCGAGTGTATTGATTGCTATAATGGCACTTGTCGAGACATACGGCGAAGTACTAAACCATCCTGTGAGGGATGATTCCATGTATATATAAAAGATCAAATTCGAGATAAACGATAAAATCTTCCCATTGCTGATCTGAAGCTGGTCAAAGCTTAATTATCAGTAACATGGTATCTTAGACCTTGCTTTAAA